TTTTTTTTTTTTTTTTTTTTTTTTTTCTTTTCTTGTGATTACTCAACACGTGTCACGATTCGCTCGTTGTAAATTTTAGATGTTAGATGACTTCGAAGCAAATTGACTTCACAAAGGAAAAGCTTAGAATTATTAATAATGGAACGAAAAGGTAATTCTTTAATTTCATTGATTTCGTTCCGATTGAATGGAATACGAACTTTTGACTTTTTGGTCGAAGTTTAATGTTTTAATATTAACATGAGCTAAAAAGTTGTACTATTTCACGGCCTGAAAACAGAAAGGATATGTTAAGAAAATCAAGAATATTTGTACATTCAAACTCTACAGCACAGGTCTCACTTTATTTTCTCCTACCCTTCTGCTTTGCGGTCGGTTTTGGCGAGGAAGAGGATGAGTAGGACGATGAAACGCTTGATCGGTTGTTCACCGCTAAGTCCTTGGATAATGCCTTTTGAACCTCATCTTTAAGTTCCATGAACCGAGCCTTCTTCTTCCGCTGCTCCTCTGGAGTTCCCTTTTCAAGGAACAGAAGGTCGGGCATGTCATCGGCTAAAAAGTTGTCAAGAACTTCCGAGCAATGAGGGAAAAAGCGTCGACCCGTATTCACTGTGATCAGGTGTGATGTTACATGAGTGATGAGTTCATCTTACACTCAATTGGATGAAAAGTAGAAAGTAATTAATAGATAGTGTTCTGGAAAGTACCTGTTTTCATTAGAGCTTTCATTCTTGCTTGGAGTCTTTTGGTTCGCATAGATGGTGTTTCATTCGAGTCAAGCTTCGGCAAGTTGCCAGATGACCCATTGGACGATACAAGGCCCTTAAATGCTATTGTTAAATTGGCATCCGCAATATCCATTGCGAGCTTGGCCTCGGCAGGGAAAATATAACGAGCAATGTTCACTGCAACAAAGGAAACAAATGTTGGGTTCTTGATTTGATAGTGCTTAGATTTAATTTTGTTAGAATAAGTTAAAACTTTGAGGAGCTAGATTTTGTTACATATAGTATCCCACACAGTTGGAGAAGAGAATGAAGCGTTGCTTAAAAGGGTGTAGAAACCTCTCCCTACTAGACTCGTTTTAAAATTTTGAGGAGAAGCCTCGAAGGAAAAGCCCAAAGAAGACAATATCTGCTAGTGATGGGTATGAGTTGTTACAAATGGTATCAAAGTTAGACACTGGGCGGTGTGCAAGCGAGGACATTGAACCCTAAAGGGAGGTGGATTGTGGGTCCTACATGGTTGAAGAGGAAAACGAAATATTTCTTATAAGAGAGTGTAGACCTCTCTCTACCAGACACGTTTTAAAACCTTGAGGGGGAAGCCCGAAAGAGAAAGCCCAAAGAGAACAATATCTACTAGAGGTGGGCTTGAGCTGTTACAAATGGTATTAGAGCCAGACATCGGGAGGTGAGCCAGCGAGAACGCTGGTCCCCAAAGGGGGATGGATTATGAGATCCCACACGGTTGGAGAGAAGAAGGAAGCATTGCTTATAAGAGTGTGGAAACCTCTCCCAGCTAGACACGTTTTAAAATCTTGAGGGGAAGCCTAGAAGGGAAAACCCAAAGAGAACAATATCTACTAGACATGGCTTAGGCCGTTACAAATGGTATCAGAGCCAGACACCAAGCGGTGTGCCAACAAAGACGCTGGGCCTCAAAAGGGGGTGAATTGTGAGATCCCACACAATTAGAGAGGAGAACAAACATTTATTATAAGGGTGTGGAAACCTCTCCCTACCACACGTTCCTACCAGACGCGTTTTAAAACTTTAAAGGAAACCCCAAAAGTAAAAGTCCAAAGAAGACAATATCTACTAGAAGTGGACTTGAGCGGTTTCATATAGCCATCTTACTATCATTTCTAATGTGTGAATATATATATATATATATAGATAGAGAGAGAGAGAGAGAGAGAGAGAGAGAGAGAGAGAGAGAATGTCACCTCTATTTTCAAGATAATCTAGAATATGCATATCAGCCGTGAGAATCTGAGTTTCCATTTCCATGCCACCAGAAACTGAACTCCTACACATCTCTCTCTCCAACACATCAATGCACAACCGATCTTTGTTAGACTCCTGTCCCTTATCAGTCATCTCATTATAATCCTTGGGCCTAGTCAGCCTCCGACAGATTGTAACCGCAGTTTGTCCATCAGCTGTACGTTCTAAAGCAGAGGTTCCCTTATCCAGAAGGGCCACAATGATTTTAGGATCCTTACGCCTTGCAGCAACATGAAGAACTGTTTGTCCCCTAGGATTCTTAAGATTGAGATCTGCCAAGCCTAGATTAAGAACCTCTTTAATCACTCTAGGATCACAATAGGCAGCTGCATAGTGAAGGGCGTAAGCATCATACAATGTAATATCAGAAGATTCATTTAAAAGAAGTTTCAATAGCTCAATATCATCAGCATCCAATGCTTTGTGGAGCCTCCTGATTTTCGTCTCACGGTTTAGGTCCACCTCTTCTACAATATTTGGTTCAGTCTCTACCTGAGATTTCATACGCAGTGACTTAATCTCACTTGCAACTTCATTTGGAAGCTCTTTTTCGATAGACATAGCCTCAAGGTTCGACCTCGCGACTCGTTGGATGCAAGGGGAGAGTAGCTGGTCCAGATGACAATGGTATCCAGCAATCAGTATAGTCATCACATCTTCCACAGATGCCTTCTCAACAAAACTTAGGAGCCGACGCTGCACAATTTAGTCGATACCGAGTTAGATTGTGTATTCACTCACGATCAGGTTGAAGAGAAAGAACCTAAACTAAAATGAAGCACCCTATGACTTGATTTTGTTATGCTAATGCAGGATAAGCAGTTGACATAGTGAACTGACCCTTTTGCAGAATCAGTATAGTATGCAGATTAAGCTATCTATTAGATTAAACTACCTCATACTCATCTAATCCATCAGTCATCCATTCAAACCCTTTTGTGTACATGTGGTCGGATTCTTTGCACCCTTTTATCTTCTCGAAACACACATCACCTTCTTCCATTAATCTGGGAGTGAAATGGTATCGCCTCCTAATGTGTTTTATCTTTGAATGATAGACTAGTTCTTCACCATCTGCATGACACCCTGACTATCTAATAAAGAATCTTCTCGCACGCTTTCTGCCTAATTATTCTAGACAGCCCGAGTGCCATTCTTTTAATGTTACCAATCTAATTCTATACTGCATTTTATTTCTTTTTAGTGGTTTCCCCATAAAAATCTGCGAAAGAAGCTACAGTATTGGGCTCAAATAACGAAGTGATAACGTGAACTATGAAAAACCAACGAATAAAACAGTAAGCTTTCCATCAAAGAGACTGACCAACAAAACCATATGGATAAGAAATATAAAGAATTTGAGAAATGTTGTCATACCTGAACAAGCAATACCATCTCTTTCGTCTTGAAAGTGGCAGAAGCATACAACAATTGTAGAGTAAAATTAATAGCAGGGCCACAAGCATGATGGGCACAGGACTCATCCACACACGTTGACACTTCTGGTGGCAATGGCTTTAGCTTTCCCGTGTACAAGTAATTCAAGATAACCTTGAAAGCTTCAATTCCAACCTTACTGAAAGGTATCAATTGAGACATACAATATTTTGGCTTTCCATCTTTTGTGGAGCTATCCATTTCCTGCTTAAAAAGCTCATGAAAAAACAGACTCCGAGCCGCCAATATACAGCGATGAACACCAACTTCAATGCCCTCAACAACAACCACTGCATCGGTATAGTCATAGTCAGAATCATCCACTAGCTTCTCCAGGCTTGCGCTTAGCTTGCTAAGGCTCAAATGGTCAGAGTTCGCAGAAGGGTCATTGCTGAATGTTGCAGCAACGTTGTTATAACTGGACCCATTTGACACATAAGAAGACGATGAGGGATCGTCCATGGCTTAAAATATGCGTTTCCACTAAGATAACTCAAGAAAGAAGCTCAAAAGTAACAAAGATTGAACGAAATCACGATGCTCAGAACACAGATTTGGAACAAGAACTAATTGAACCAAATAGGGAAATTTCTTAACTATTTCTTGATCGAAGCCATGGATGGAAATTACGTCGTCAATAATCAAACAAACACAGATAATCAGGACTCAATAGTCAGAAATGGAATCGAAATCTTACTGAAAACGCTCCTTTCAGGCGTTCATCCATGGACTAGCAAAAAGGATTTCAAACCCAAAAATTAATCGACCACAAAACATCAGAAAAGATTAAGCGAAGAACAAAACAAGAAGAGATGATGATCTGAGGGTTGAAGAAGACTGACAGAATTGACCTAGATTTAACAAGTTGCATAAATTTCTGGTTATGTTGCAACTTGTATCCTCTGATAAATTTTCAATAAAAAGTAATATCATATATCTTTAGTGTACTATAAAGCAGGGCTATAGTACAAATTTAATAATTAAAAAGTGATTTTTTTTTTTGTTTTATCGAAAATTACAAGTGAATTATATATATATTTTTTTTTAAAAAAAATGTTTTGATAGAGTTATTCAAATTAAAATTAAAGATTTTTACATTATTTTTTAATTAGTATATAAATTAACAAAAAATAGAAAGATTATTTGATGAAATTAAAATAAAATTTTATGGAAATAAATAAATCCATCAAAATATAGGTAAAAGCTGAATTTTGTATTATTTATTATTCTTTAATGAAATAAAAATGATTGGATTATTTAATGATTATTTAACGGTGTAATTATTGTGTCTTGATAATGTGATGGCGGCTGCATGGGTATGATTCTTCAGTGTCAACTTGCACGCGTGCGATTTAAAATGACAATATTGTCCCTATAATAACCTATTTTAATTTATTTTGAATGTTTGGTATTAATTATTTAAATGAAAAATATTGAAGAAAGTTTTAAAATAATAGTTTATAATTTTCATGAATGTGTATTAACTTTGGGTTTATTAATCAAATTCATTTATTTTAAAAGAATATAGGTTTTTTTAAGTTGAAAGAACCGCTACTGAAAAAGGGATTTCCAAATCTGCTTTAGAAAGCAAAAATGAAGTCTTGTTTTGAAAGATATAGAATTCCCGAGATTTAACATTTATACTTTTTAGTCAATAACTAATTGATTTTAATTAAAAATAACAGCTCGTATTTAAGTGGTATAAAATAAGAAATTCAAC